GCGGGGGCGCCGCGGCGCCGGCTCGGCGGGACGCGCTGCTGGCGCCACCCGTACAGGCGCCGGGCGCCCCACTCCAGCCTTCGTAAAATTCGTCGCCCCGACTAATTGATCTGCGGGGCAGAAGCGGTTGCTGAGGGGCGCGGGGTGGGTCGGCTCTTGTGACGGTCCCTGTTAAAATATCATTGCCAAACGGTTACATGCTGTAAACAGTAAAAGTTTGATTCAAATTTATGTGTTAAGCCTTTGCTTGCCGAGGCCGAGAACGTCTTAATTTCATGCGTATTGTTTTGAAGATATTTCCACATTTTTCCTTTTAGTTATCAGTTTAAAAAATTTTCATGACTAATTTCCTTTTACCTGTGGATAGTTTCGTATAAAAGCCGTAGACGATGGGGTTTGGGTCTCAGGCAGCGTTATCCGCTCGGAATCGAACCCGCTTTACTTCTCTTTTCCTTTCCTGCCTTGTTCCCTTTACGGTAATCGATAGTTTGAAAAATGAAAACGGCCAATTCTCTCCGCGCCTGTCTTCTTTCCTGACCTCTTTCACCACATCTCTCTGTCTCTCTCCCTCGCTCTCTCTCTCTGCCGCCTCTCTCACATCTGCTCTGCACCCGCAGCTGCAACAGCTGGCTCTGCTGCGGCAGTGCGCACGCTCGCCCCACACGGACTCTGTTATAAATCGCGTGTAATTTTGTTGGGATTACGGGGGCAATAACTTTGCAACCTCCTTGATTGAGATGTTGATGGCGGCGGGCGGGCGGGGCGGGGCTGGGCTGGGCTACAACAATTAGGGTTTACGACACTACGGAGCGCCACCTTCGCCCTCCCCCCTTCCCCTTCACCGCTCCGCGCGCCCCTCTTCACCTCTTCGCACTTCTCCTCCTCCCGCCTCTCTCCCTCTACCGTTCCCTTTTATTCCTTTGCGCATTCTCTCTCCTCCTCTTTCCTTCGCAATCTCCCTCTCGCCCCGCGCGGAATGCCCTCGCTACACGCGTTGTGGTGGAAGAATGGTGCCCCTCTAGGAAAAGATTTGACCACTTTGTGTTTCCTTCTTTTCCCTCAAGGCGAACTCGGGCGAACTCTGTGCTCCGTGCTTATGGCATGTGCGGCCCTATAAAAATAAAAGTAAAACCTTATCATCTTTGCCTTTTTCACTTTTTATTTCTAGCCCGTATAACGCATTTTTGTACGAAAAAGAAGTGTGCGTGACTGACGCACTACTTTCCGAAAACTGTTAATTCTACCATATAGCTTCACCTGTAATTTGTTGAACTTCCCCATAGCAGAGGGGCTGCTCTCCCTCGCGTCGTCGTCGGCGACCCTTCGTCGGCGACCCTCCCCACCAGGACGACGGCCTGCAATTAGGCGGCGTTGGCGAGCGGGTCGCGGGGGCGCGGGTCGCCTGCCCTGAGTTATGAGCCCCCAGTGAGTCGCCGCCTCCTCTTCCCCCGTCCCCCGGCTGCGCTCTTGCCGGCCGTTTGTAGCGCGCGTTGGTTTCGAACTCCGGCGCGGCTCAAAGGCCCGGGACTCTCAAGTTTAAAATATATTGGTATTGATCCGAAACAAAGTGAAAACTGTACTACAATTCAAAAAGTACAGAGTTCTTGAAATTAGTACATCTTTTCCTCTTATTTTTAAAAAGGTAAAATTTGACGTTTGTCGTGTTGCGTTCTGTATAGAGTGTCTCCAGTGGCTGTGTCTACTCGTGCATAAAAGTATTCTGTTTCCGATTAGCTTTCTATATTTTTGATAAGTTTTGATAAACATTCGAGGTGTAAACGTTCCGATTTTGATGTATGCCGAGTGGTTAGTGGTTTAGGGGCGGGGGAGGGAAGTTCTTTCCTGTTTTTTGAAAAGTTTGATAATTGCTTTTTCCCATTGCTTGTCGATGTGCCATTCGACGGTTTATCGACCACCGTCCCGAGCGTGACGTCACTCGCGCACGCGAGGAGCGCGTGAGTCACTCTCTCTCTCTCTGCTGCGCCGCGTGTGTCATTCGCGCTCTTCCCCGAAGAGAAAGCGTTCCGCCCGGCCCGGCCAGGGCCAGCCGCGTGCGGAGGGGGAGCCGAAACCAACAGTGACACACCAATCGATTGGTGTTGCTCTTTCCACTGGCTCCGACATTGACCGCGGACAAGACTTTAGACTTTAATCATGTCCGACGTGTGTGTTTCTCATACGAGGGGGGAGGGGGGGGGCACCAATAACGAAAAAGCATAACACCAGAGCAATGAAATGGGGTATTTTATTAGTAGAAAGAAGATCAGGAAGATAACATGCCACGGCATTACAAGCCTTTAATTGTTCTCTGAAAATCGTCTGCAAAAACAACTGAAATGAAGCAGTCAATTTCTGGAAACAGCATGTTCTTCCTCTGACATGTTCTTTGCACAAAAAAATAATAAAAATACCTCACCGATAAATTTGTCAACAATCGCCAGACTTCTCCGCAGAGCAGGGAACGCTTTGCTTGAGCGCTTTCGTCGCGTCCGGAGTATAGGCGGAGGCATAGCTTTCGGCAAACGCCTGCGGCCCATGAGGCAAGTGGGGGTGCAATAATGATGGCGAGGATCAAAAGTTTTCTCTGGAGGCGGAGGAGGAGAAGTGGGGCTATCGGAATCATCAGGTGAGGCCTCCCGAGCCAAACCACCACCAGCAACCCCTCCCCCTGCTCCAGCTAGCCTTCCGCTCGCTTCGGAATGTTTGTTCAGTTGCCAACTCGGTTGCCCACCGTTAGTTTCCCTCGTGGCAGAAGCAGCCGGTATAGCCCGCCGCCGCCGCGCCCCTCACTCGTCAAACTTCCGCTCCTCCTGGAGCAGCGCGTGTTAAATGGCTTTATCTGCGCGGGAAAACTATTTTCGAAATAATGCCGGATGTTTTGCGGGGAGCGCGCGGGGCGTTTGAATGCGTTGTCTGAAACTGGTCAATAATGGCACAGCACCACGTGCGGTGTGGGGGAACCTTCGGGACCGAAAGAGAAAAGCTCCCACCTATTCCGGGAAGCAGAGCTCTCTGCGCCGTGCGCGGCTTTCTGTCAGGAAAACTATGTAAAGTGAATACCAGCCCGGTGTGGTTTTGTTGCTATTGGAAGAGAACAGCATCCTGAGAGAGAGAGAGAGAGAGAGAGAGAGAGAGAGAGAGAGAGAGAGGGAGGGAGGGAAAGAGAGAGAGGGAGAATCAATTTTTGCGGTTCGCGAGAAGCACATAGCAGCGTGCAGTGCAAGGGAGAGGAGGGGCAGTCTGTAACACCACCACGGCTCGCCATAAACACGTGGAAATTGACATCGCCCCCGGAATCCTTACGGGTCTTGCGGTGGCGGGGCGTGGTGGGGCGTGGCGGAGCCGCCGACTCCTCTCCTCTTGTTGTTGCAAGGCGCCGCCGCCGCGGAGAGTGAAAAAGCAGTAGATATAAAACTCGGACCTCGAGACAAACAGGGGAATAAATGGGGATCACGGCGAGCCGTAAAACTGCCCTGTCTGCTCCTCCTCTGGCTACGGCGGCGGTGGTTGACGGCTCCGGGGGGCCGGCGGGCCGGCGGGGCTGGTGCGCGAAGCTGCTGGGCTTGCCCTCCTCCCCCCACTGCCGGCAAAGCCTATCTGCTACACCATGGTTCCCACACACGTCTGGAAAACCTTGCAAAGTCGTGGGGAAAAAAATACGGTCACAGAAAGTCCCGGAATGTCTTGGAATTTGGTTGGACCGTCCTAGAAAAATCAACTTTCAAGAATTATTTGAAAAGTTTATCTTCAATTTAATATCAGGGTATGAATTTTCAAATTACGACGTAAGAATGTGCAAATTCACATAAGTTTATGATGCTCCCACCTCAAGTGTAGCGTGAATTTTCAAATTTATTTTGAAAAGTTTTATTGTTAAGTCCCACCCCACGAGTCTCTAATATTTTATTGCAAATGATCATTGCAATTTTGAAAATTCAGTATGGAAAGTCCTTGAAAAGTCCTGGAAATTACCTGGAGCCAAAAAGTGGGAACCATGTACGACGGCGGTCATTTCTTTGTGTTCTTTGGTACATGTCAAAATGCTGTCATTTCTTTGTGTTCTTTGGTAAGTACATACCTATACCATAAATCATAAATTTCGACACAGAAAAGATTAAAGATAAAACTGAATCCTCGCGCAAAACCAGCAAACGATAAAGGTTTTTATACAAGCACCTCAGTAAGTTTTATCTGAAGTTTACTTAGGAGTCCGCCGTCTTTACACATCAGCTGTAGCACCGACACAACAATATGGTGTAGAACGTGACCTCATCGTGGCGCTCGGGGTTATGTCTCCGCGTCGTCGACTATGGTTTCGCCTTCCCACCCTCTCTCTCTCTCTCTCTCTCTCTCT